ATACCGGACATTGCATAGTTTGTGTCAGGTTTCCTCCAAAATAAACATTAGATCATTGGTTTCAGTAATGTCATTTAATATTTTGTGATAAGTGGTAGCACTCTGAAGCAGAAACTCACAGGTCTAAATCCAAAGTTTTATGTTGTGGCTTGCAATCAATGAAGAGCAAGGAGGGCATGCACCATATACCTGATGAAGCTACCAAACAGGGTGATTTAAATTCCAAATGGCACAAGTAGCAAGTGATAGAGCGGTAAGTGATCCCACAACCAACAGATCAGATGTAAGCTCCATTTAGTTGTGAATACAGACAGATAATTAAATAACTCAAGGTGGTTCCACTAAACAGCCTCATCCTCAGTGATGGGGGAACCCCAGCACTTCAGTGCAAAAGACAGGGCTGAAACATTTGCAACAATCTTCAGCCAAAAATGCTGAGTGAATAGTCAATTTCCGCCTCTTGTGGACATTCCTAGCATCATCTATCCCAGTCTTCAGCCAATTCAATTCAGTCCACATGGTTAAGAAACAGCTGAGTGTACTGGAAAGTGCAAAAGTTATGATCCTTGACAACATTCCAGCCATAGTACTGAAGACAAGTGCTCCAGAACTAGCTGTGCCCTTCATCAAGCTGTTCCATTACAGCTAAAAAAAAACTTGTACCTATCTTGCAATGTGGAAAATTCCCCTGGTAACATCTGGCACACAAAAAGCAGGACACATTCAACCCAGCAAATTACTGCCCCGTCACTCTACTCCCCAAAGTGTAATAAAAGTGTAATTAAAGTGTAATATTCGTAGCAGTATCAAGCAGCACTTGCTATCAACTTAGAAGTTACCACCGACCAGAAACTCTACTAGCCATATAAATACTGTGGCCAGGTCTGAGGTGAGGAATCCCATAGTGAGTAAATTACCTCCCAACTCCCCAAAACTGCTGCACTGCATCTTGCAAGTAGTACATGCTGCTGCTACAGTCTGTCAGTAGTGGAAGAGACAGATATAGAGGCCAGAGCCAGAAATAAATGGACCACTCTCACAGGGTTGTGAATAGCACCACAATTTTGAGCACATCTGCAATTGTGTTCATTCAGATCTCCAGAAATGAAGGGAGACTAACTCTTGGACATTAAGGCAGCATTTGACCAATTATGTCATTTAAGAGCTCTTGTACTTAATGAGAACTGGGGCAAAACTCTCCACTGCTTGAAGTCATACCAAAGTCCAAGGAAGATAGTGAGACTACTAGAGGTTAGTCATCTCAGTCCCAGGACATCTCTGCAGCCCAATGGTATCAATGTGGATTTCACAAGTTTCAAAATCTCCCCTCCCCCTACCGCATCCCAAAACCAGTCCAGCTCGTCCCTGCCTCCCTAACCTGTTCTTCCTCCCACCTATCCCCTCCTCCCACCTCAAGCCGCACCTCCATCTCCTAC